GATATAGCTCGAAACCGTGTATTTGAAATAATAGGTTGCTCTGACGTTCCCAAGGTGAACCTTCCGGACCTGATGTGTCAAATCTCGAAGGATAAGGGGCAGAACTATGATCTTAGTGATTGGACAAACATAAGAGAGCGTTACAGTGCAATCTACGGTGCAGAGAAGATCAGGAAAGCTGGTGATCCTAGCACTATTGTAATTGATATATTGCTGAGTCCTGCAAACGTAAGTATTTGAATGTTCCACTATCCTATCATTTTTGATAACATTTCCGCTTAGTATTTGAAGAGTTTGCACCTGTCACGCCAGCTTCAGAACAGGAATATTTTATTTGGGAGTTTCGGTTTAATTTTATTTGGGAGTTTCGGTTTAGCAGTTTAGCCGAATTCGTTGAAAACAGACTGAGAGAAAGTCAGTTTTTCACAGATCTATTAAGCTTGGAGAATATACCACACAGTTAGGCTTCGTGGCAGAAAGTCAAGATTGTTATACAAACAATGGTATCGTAAGGTACAGGTACAAGTACAAGAAGCAAAGAGAATCATGAAAAGTCCAGAGAGCTAAGTCCAGTTCCGTAGGGTGTTTAATAATACATAATGCATGGTTACAGTGACACAAGGGACATCCCACTATTAACCAGACACAAAAATCTTCGAAAAAGCTTTCAGCTTGCCGAGTTTGCTTCACCTTTTGTCAGCTGCAAATGTACAGAAAATACAACATTATCGGTGGATTTTACCAGTGAAGATTGAGAAAATATACAAGTTTTATGATTCATTTGTGGCAACTTTTTGATCTCATAAAATTGAAATAAACTCTCATATTCTCAGCTGGAAAATCCTAATTAAAAAGCAAGGATTTTTGATAAGTATTTGTCCCCAGACAAATCTGATATTACTCATTACTTTGCAGTTATCAGAATTCCACATTTTTTTAGTTGCAAAAGCTAGCCAAAACTATTATAAATATTTGATTTCCTGGATGAATTTATCCAGACAAAAATCTGTTACAAATCCTCAGTTAAAAATAGCCTAAATGTTTAACCGGGTTTTCTGTGTCTTTTCCGAGCTGAAAATGCTTACAAATAAATGTATGATTTATTCTGGGAAAAATCCCACCTTCTTGGAGCAATAAATCTCACTTTGTTCAGAAACAAAATGCCATACTTTCCTGGCATTTACACAATGGAAACAATATCAGATATT